GATGGCCCTGTAGTGTTCACTGTCCAGGCAGCAGGAAGGTGCCCCTGAGGAGCAGGAGGGAGGGAGTCTGCTGTCTGAGGTCTTTCTGCCTCTGCTTCCCCAGGGTCCTGCTGGTGTTCCTGAAGGAAATCTGACCTGTGCTCTGTCACTCCTTCCCCCTCCCAGCAGGGAAGGCAGAGGGCTGGGGTTGGGGTGAGATAAGCTTCCTGTCTAGTTGCTTGTATTCAAGAGTCCAAGGTCCCTTCCCAGCTCCTTTCTCATTTTGAATTGTCTGGAGCTGAGGGCTGGGCCTGGGGGTGGGAGGCATTTCCTGGGAACTCTAGCCCCTCCATCATCTAGGAAGTCACAGGACTGAAGCCCCTGGATGGCAGGCTCCCGCCCTCACCTCTGTTACAGTCCCCAGAATGAAGCACAGTAGCATAAGGATAATGTGTACACCCCCGTTCCTGACACTCAGCAGGATTTAGTAACATTTTACTGTTCTCCTCTGTCTTTTCATGAAATCCCCCAGTGACTCTAGGCCTTGAGAAGTCTCCCCATCAGGCAGGGAGAGGTGGTGGCAGTGGGCAGGTGAGGGTTCCAGCTATAAGAGGGCTGGCTGGGCAGGTGTTCCATGATAACCCGTGGGCCCCCCTCTGCTCCTCTGTTCTGTGGTTTCCTTCCTGATAACAGGGTGCGATGTCCAGAGGGCAGGGCAGGCTCTGCCCAGGCTCTGCTCTGCAAGCTTTCACTTCAGATGCTGGAAGGAGCCAGAGGGGCTGACTCTTCTCCCTGGGAGGGTCAGTGGGGGCCCAGGGCCGGGGGCTCTGCAGACACTGCCGTCCCCTGTGCAGGCTCTGTTTCTCTGCCCTCCTGGGAACCACTGGCCTCTCGGAGATGAGGCATCCTGCGCCCCCAGCCTTCTTTCTGAAGCAGGAGTTGGGCTCTGAGAGTAGCTGACAGCAGGTGCAAACTCTGAGGGTGGACTTGGGGTCTTCTGGGGTGCCCGTGGCTGATTTGGGATCTGCTGGGGCACCTGTGGCTTCAAACTTTCTCCAGCTGCTGAGCTCAGAGACACTCCAGGAAGTCACAGCCTTCCAAAGCTGGGAACAAAGGAGCCAGGAGCAAGGCCTTCCAGCCTGGCACAGAGGTAAGAGGGCTGGAAGGCAGGTGTGGGCCAGGAGGGGAGGTCAGGACACTGTGAGGTGTGGGGGAGGCTGAGGATGTGGCCTGGCCTGAGCAGAGGGAGGGGATTGGATAAAGGTCTTGCTCTAAGAAGATCTGGGGTGACCTTAGTGAGGGCTGCTCTTTATCTGTTTTAGTGACGTATCTGTAGCATTTATAGGACCATGCCTTGTTCCAGTTCTATGTAGTGAGTCTACATATAAGTCCACGCATCCTTGTTACGGCGTGGCAGGGAGATGCTGTTATATCCCTGTTTTATACATGAGGAAACAGACAGAAAAGGTCGAGAAAAGTTGCCCAACATGGTCACCCTGAGCATGGCCGAGCCCGGACGGAGCCCCACAGGGAGCCCCAGAGTCTGTCCTAGCAGGATCCTAGGCTAGCCCTTCCCCCTCCACATAGTCAGTGTTTTGGGGGTCATTTATCTGACCAGGGCTCATTCCGTCTTAGGTAACTCTATTTCCCTCCAAGTTCTTCATCTTTCTGGTGGAAGTCTTACTGAAATGTAGGGAGGCCAGAATTCCACTGCTCAGTGGGGAATCATTGAGGTGCCTGTTTTATGCAGGGCCCCTAACAGGAAGGGGTCTCTGAGGGATTCGCATTTAGGCAAACAGAACAAGCAAAAAATGGGGGCACCTGCGATGACACCATGGTCTCCCTGAGGACGTGGTCTGTCTCTGAGGGTCCCAGTGTCACCATTAGTGGGCAACAGGACAGCAGGTAGCAGGAGCTGGTGTGTCTTTTGCATGAGGGCCCTGCCCCTGCGTCCTCTGTCAGGGGTGGGGAGGTCACCTGTGTGTGTGAATGATGAAGCGATAAGGAGTGGTTTCCACCACTGGCCTTCAGGCCCTGGGCATTTAGAAAGAAGGACCCGGTTTTCTGGACAGAACGGAGCTGAGGTGTGGTTGCAACTGGGTGGGAGGGAAAGGGTCAGTTTCTTCCCAGACAAACCTAGTGGCTCCTGAGAACCACAGAGTGTTCCCTACAGGGCCGGGAGGAGGCTGGGCCAGCTCCCTGTGGGTGTCAGTGTAGTGGGGCCCCCACCCCACCATGACCAGCAGTAGGAAATGCTCTGCTCCCCTGAGAGAGGCTGACGTGGCGGAGGCCCAGAGCTCGCTGACCTGCCTCCTGCCTCCCCT